CCGTCTTACCCAGCTGGCCTCTTGCTAATCGACGCTCTTCCACTTTCATTCAAACTTGACATTGCAGTTGATCCAGAAAGGGGCTTCCAGGGTCCCCGGGTGGGGCTTGGCCGCCTTCTAGGAGTGGCTGTCTTGATTCCCAGCCATCTCGTCACTTGACCTCAAAGAGGTTGATTCAAAACAGAAGGGCATTTTGCCCTTCAAAGAGATGCTTCCTCCTCCAGTTAATCAAAACAATAGCAACCAGTTCATGGAAAATTCGCCATCACCCAGTCACTGATAGGATGATTTGAAAACATTATAAAGTACATTTATTTTATTAACGGAGCAATTGGAAAGGTCTCAAATCTGAAGAGGGGAAAAATTAGAGCTCTTTTGTTTTGTTTAAGTCTATTCAATGTTCTTATCTTTTTAAACAAAGCAGTCTACAGTTGGAAATGCCCCCCACTGCTACATAGACTCTTCTGTACGCAGTGAGGAATAAAGTACCTTCAAATCATAAAGTGTTTTTCAGTTTTACTCCCGAATGATCAGAGACCTTGTAAAGTCTATTTTCTGGTCATGACTTATTTTGAACTTTAAAATAGAGATATTTTTCCCCGTGAAATTCCCACCTAACTTACAGCTTGCACAATAGCCCATATCAAATGGTGCAGAGCAGGGAGCAGTGACAGAGTTCCTGGCCCTTCTGTCCTCTGGTCCCTCCTTCAGTCCTCGTGGGACCACTGGCTGCTTGCTCCTTTTAAAGACCTGAAAGAATAGAGTGACTTTTCCCAGGGTGCCTTCCCATTCATGAATAGAATATTCCTCCCAGACGCTTACTGTACTGTAAATGCATTCAGTCAAGTTTCGCTGTTGTGAAAATGAACACGGACTGATCAGTCTATGCCATACTTAAACTGGCCTCTGTTCTGAAAGGATCAGGTCCTTCCTAACCCTTGGGTTTTCCAAATATTCCCACATGTGCTGACTTTCTTCCTAGTTCGTATTTTCTGTCTCCTCACATTCATGTAATTCTTGCAACACTTTTAATATGATCATTATGTAGCGAAAACTTTTCTTCTGGCACTTTCTACATCATAGCAACGATTTTTGTTTGTTTGTTTGTTTTTTGGTTTGGTTTGTTTTTTTTTTTTTGGGGGGTGGCTTACTTTTTGTTTTAAAAATAATAGAGTTCTCTGCATTACTCATTCAGCCTCTGGTCTACTCTGACCCACAGATCTTTTGTAAAACATCAGTCTCAATATAATTTATTTTTTACCTTCAGAATTGTTCTGCCCAACTTATCTGCCTTTTGTGATTTTTGACATGGCCTTGGTAGAAAAGATCTACTTCTTCATTAATTGATGATCCACCTTTGTGAGTTTAAATCATATAATACTTAAGACGTTTATCTGCTTTGAGCACCTTGGGTGGTTCATGTGCCTCTCATGTTATTTATTGCCAAATTATTATTATTTAAACATTTTTCTAATTGCCAAAGGGTTCATGTGCTTCCCAGATAAGCAGGTAGAGAAAAAAGAAGAGAGAGAAGGCACCCCCCGATGGGGCATGGTCACACCACAATCCTTTCTCCTCTGTTTCTCCTCCCTGTTGGGATTTGGGACATGCACACACATGTGCCTAGCATACTTTTCAAGCCTCTGGGGACAGGAGTCAAACTGCAGTCAGCCATGTGGGATCTGACTTTCTTCACTGATTGAGGTACAGACCAGCCCTATTGCCAAATTAGTGTGACTAATCAGGACTTTCTCTCTAAAAGTCATGTTTCAGAGATTTATGTGAAATAACATTGTGGGCCAGTGATTGATTATTTACTGACACGAGTGGACATCTGGGGAAGCTTGTTTCCAAGCTCCAATTCCACCCATGAAGGTGGTTTGATGCCATTCCTGGCCCACGTATGCATCTGAGGTTAGATATTTTTAAGATACCGTGAACTTGAGGCAGTCCTAGACAGTTTTTTATGGTTTTGTTTTGTTTTCCATTTTGAGGGAGAAAGACTGAAAGCAAGAGAGACAAGAGACTGATATTTTTGTCAGGGTCCTCCAGTTGTAGCTCTCCTGCTCCAGCCTTCCAATTAGCTGGGACTACAGGAGCATGCAGCCATGCCTAGGATGTTCAGGTCGGCCTTGAAGCAGACCTGCGCCTCCCATGTGGCTCCCAGCCTTCCAAGCCATGGTGCTATCTGTGCCATTGTGGTTGGGCCAGTACTGGGTAGTTTTCTGTTTTGTTTTGTTCTATAGGGTGCATGTGCTTGCCAGAGAGAGAGAGGAAGAGGGAATGTGAGACATCAATCTTCCTCTACCCCCTCTCCGGGGGGTGGTGACCAAGCCACAGTGCATCCTCTTCTGGCCTCCTCTTGGAGTTGCCGGCATGCACTCACATGGGCCTGGCATGATTTTCAAGCTGCAGAGTCTGAGACTCAAATCGCACAGCCAGTCAGTCATGTGGGACCCAGCACCTTAACCTCCAGAGTACCTTCTGGCTCCTCTGAGTAGTTTTAATGCTTATACCTGTATTCATTGCTTAGCTAGAAACTTTCACATACCTGTTGCTATAAATACAGTTGTATAATGAGGAAAACAATTTAATTTTCTAATTATTCAGAGAATACAGGAGAAAATAAGTTTTAAACAATGAAAGGGAGCTTTTTAAATTTTTTTCGATTAATCTTTTTTCTTGGCTGGGTTTACTTCACACGTTATTTTCCATTCTCTATGTCATGTACCTTCTTCTTTTTAACCCAAAGCACACACTTAGTTTTCTTGACTCTTCAACCTTGGTCTTTTTGTCTTTCAAAAAACGCCATTTGCTTGATGAAACTTCAGGGAAATGATAACGCTTTCTATTCATTGGAAGTGGTCACTCGTCTTGCTTTTTATTTGGTCATTTGATTTTTGTTTGGGAGAATAGACATGCATGACATTTTGGAATTTTGTCCATTTTAAAATTCAACACCCCTCAAAATGTGTCTTTGGTTGCATGCCCATTCCATTGGCTAGCTCTCCTCATCCCAAGCATCTATCTAAAATGTTTATAATCCTCTGTGCAGAAGGTGTAAGAACTTTAAAAGTCTTCATTTAGGCTTCATCTGTTTAGATCACCCGAGTGGAAGAGTGATTTATTTTCCTTTTTACGATTCTCTTCCCCATCCATTTTCTCTTCAGAAGGGGCGCTGCTTCGAGAACTACTTGTTCTTATAAAAAGAGCTGGAGATTAACTCGAGCAATGTTTATTGTTATATTCTTTATCAATCCTCCACTGATAAAGACTAATCAGTTCCAGAAATGGTTAGCTTATCTCTGGGTGAGGTATTCGTTGATAGTTGAGAATGCCAGCTCATTTCTTAAGCTTTTCATTTTCGAAAGAAATGCACATAGCAGGCATATGAAAACTTAAGTGAGCCTCTCATTTATTGCAGTCATAGTTTCCACATAAATTCTTTGTTCATTATTTCATACACATCAGAAATAACATGCTGAGCTCCAGTATCGCAGTAGATGCTGCAGTTTAAAGCGGGGACGTGCACAACCCATAAAGCTATCCGGCATCTGGGTGCCATACTGTCTGTGAAGCTGTGAGTCACAAGAAAGGAACTAGAGAAAAATCACTGCCTTTGCAAAAACGAGGAAACTTATCTGACATGAGAGGCCGAAAAGGAAAGTTAATGGTAAAAGTTAATGTAAAATGGCATGGAGAGGTAGTTGTGACATTGCTCGTCCACTTAGGTGACTGCCCCGTGCTTTTGTGCAGGCCGGATCTTCTCTTTGTTTATAGAATAGATGCTGCTGCAGTTAAGTGGACTAGACAAATCAGATCGCCTTGTTGATATGTGTTATAAAATTCGAATACTACCCACTAGAAAAGAAATCAGTAGTAGATCATATAAAACAGCAGCAGCATTGCTGAAGAAGAGCTGCCCTGGGACAGCACCTCCTGGCCCTTCCCTGTGTCACAACTGCCGTCTCTCACCCTGTGGCTCATTCCTGAGGTGCTCTGGTTGTACAGCTGAGCTCCCAGCTGGCCAGGCTGGGAATGGCGCTCCCACCCTTCATTTGCATATTCATAAAGTGGACTATACCTAAATTTGAGCCTAGTGGTTGCCAGAGCAAGTGACTAAGTTCTCAGTATAGCCTCCCTGAAAAGTCATGGAAAAACTCAACACTCACAGTGTCTGCTTTGTGTCAGGCAGTGTGCTGGAAGTCTTCGGATTTGACACAGACATTATTTTACCAGTCAAGAATCCAAAGCTCAGAGGGTCTGAGAGTACTTTACCTAGGGTCACACAGCAAGGAGGTGGCAGAATTGAGGTGCGGACCTACATCCGTGTGGTTCTAAAAATGTAGGCATTTTCCATTCATGATGTTTCTACCGCCTCAGAGTAGCTCGCTAATATAATCTAAAGTATATTTTAAATAGGCGAAGTCTATAATAGACAGTGTTTTTCTTTTCATTTCTTCCACTTAATAGCTGTTAACTACAGTTCTCTGAGAAATAGATAAGATACTACAGCCCGAATCAGCTGTTCAACTTTTATTACCAATTGCTTAGAAAGATCATTAGCTGTATAACAAAAATTAGTGTGCTGGGGGGTCAGAGGAAGTGCCGTCGAGTGGCTTTTGCTAGAAAAAAACCAGCAAATTTTAACCATGTTCCAGAAATAACCTAATCACTCAACTATAGAAAGTTTGAGAAAAGTTTGAAACCAACTAAAAGAAAAATCAAGCTTGCGTTCTTTATGTCACATGAGCATTTTTCCTCTTGAAATGTCACAGTCAGTCACTGAAGCAGCCCTTTTCTTTCCGGGCTAATGTGGTACCTTCACTCTGTCCACAGTGAGAAAAAGGGTCATCATTAATCGGGCGGGTAGATGGGAACGTTAGCAGGGTTTTGAGCTAGGATGGGGAGGTAATGAGTGAGTAAATCCTCTTAGCTGGTCTGGACTGCTATAAACATAACCTCTTCCCCCCTCTCCCCCACGAGTTCTCAGCAATTGACACTAAACAAAACAAAATTCTGCTGTTCCTGGCTGACCCGTAGGATTTCAGACCGGGTTTCAGAGACCACCGAGCCCAGGCTCCTTTATGGCAGTCCCTTTGGTATCGCCACTTCATGTCACTGGCATTAAGGGAAGTTGAGGGGATGTTCTGTGGTAAGAGACAGGGACTCGTACAGCTCTAAACTCATGGAGGAGTTGTGTTGTCATTTGGTTGGTTATTGGAAGAGCTGGTTTTGCATGTGAAGGGAGTTTCAGCCTCTGGGGTGGGCCAAATCTCGGAGGGCTGTGAAAGGGCAAAAGCAGTGAAGTCTCCTTATGACATGGATCATGTGTTTTTCCCCCTCATCATTTCTCATTTTCTACTCCCATCCTGTACACACATTTGTGATTCAGAGATGTCTACAGCTGGGAGCGTGTTGGGTTGGTGCACACTGGCCGACCTGAGCATAACTGGGTATTCCTGCCCTGCCCTCTCTTCCACAGAGAACTTGCAGTTTTGGTGGATTCGACTTGACGAACCGTTCTCTGCACATTGGCAGCAATAATTCTGACCCAATGGTGAGTTTATGATGGGGGAGCAGAGGTGTGAATTCCAGTGACTTGCCTGATGGTGATTTCTCACTCAGCGCCTTTGGGAATTGGTACTGGGTAACCTTTTCCTTGGTGACCCCAGATCTTATCTGGAAAGAAGCCCTTATTTCACCCTCTTAAGTTCGTTCTTCCGTGTGGGGTGAAGGATGGCTCTGGCCTCCATCTCACTCCTGGCCACAGTCCATTGTCTTTAATGCCTTTGTGTCCAGTCAGCTCACAAATCCAGATGAGTTGGGTTTTCTGGTCTTCGGCATTCATGCACACGGCCTTTTCTTGATGCTAGTTGCATGGATGCAACTGCTAGACACGTGTAGCAGGACTGAGTGAAGCGCCGTGATTTGAGTATTAAAAGTGTGTTGGCATTTCCAATAACCAGCCTATAGGCCCAGGGCATGGCCCTGCAAGGCCTACGCTAACCTAGGTTTTTCTGATCTGGAGTGTCCTGAAATTAACCCAACCGTCTTGAAGCCAAAGCAAACCGAACCACTCAGGGCCAAGGCTACTGCCGCCTCACACCTGCTTTGGGGTCACAGTCTACGTACAAGACAGATCTGTGCTGGGCAAGCTCTGTTCCCTCAAGTTTGCGTTCTCAAGCCCCCAGAGTATAGATGAATTTTATGTTGAGTTTCTTTTTTTCTTTATGTATTTTGTGAAGATTTTGTGCTTTCTATTTGTTATGATCCTAAGTCAGCTAAAATACCCACACGCGATAAATGAAGTGTTTGAGAATTTCTTGAAAGAACCAAGCAATTTATTTAGAAGTCATACTTTTACTGATTTTTGAACCAATGGTTTGAAGTAGTCAATCTTTTTTTGTTTGTTTTGCATTTTTGCCATAAGGCACATGTGCTCACTAGAGAGACAGAGGGAGACAGTGAGAAGGAAAGTGAGAAATCACCCCCCCAGGGGGGATGGCCATACTGCAATTTCTTCTCCTCTATTTTCTTCCTCAGATTTTGGGCACACACACACATGCACCCAGCTTGAGTTTTAAGCCCCTGGGTCCAGGATTCAAACTGGTTGGCCATGTGAGGGTCCAGCTCCTTAACCACCATGCTACCTGCTGGCCCCTATAGTCAGTCTTTTAAAATATGAAAGTATGTCGCTTCCCCTTAACCGGGGGAAAGCTGTGGGGTTTTTTGTTTGTTTGTTTTTAATGCAAAATGGAATGAGGGATGACCATAGTCAGGTTTACAGAAAAACAGGAAGAAGGAAATGTGTACTCTATCAGAAGTTGACCACGCAAAGCGCTGCCATGATGAGACCCAGTCTGAGGCTGCCTTCACTGACTAAGTGTAGCAGGAGTCCTTAGCACCCTTCGTTGGGTACTTCAGTAGGATTATCCATCTCTACTCCCTCACTGCTGGCGTTATGTGAATATTAACTCACGTATAGCACTCTTTTAAAGTGTATTTATTTATTTATTTCTTCTTAGAGAGAGAAAAATAGAGAGAGAGACACATAGGCATCCCCACCAGGGCCTCATGCAACCAGCTTCAGGACGGGAGGACCCCCGCACACCTGTGCTCCCGGAGTGTCGGGATGTCCTGCGTGCTCACTGAGGTCCCGGGATGTGGTTCCAGGTGCATTACCACTGTGCCACCACCTGGCCCCTCAGCCACTCTTTCTTGATGAAATGCAGTCCCCTTGGGTGTTTAAAAATGGTGAAAAAAAGATAATCCAAAAAGATGCACTAAGATTAAATCAAATAAAAAGTGACTCCTGCCCCACTTTAAACAGTGAAAAACACAGAAAGCTCCTCACTCGGTGGGTTTTAATTTGCACTCAAAATGATAGATAACGTGGCATAAGAAGATCTTGGAGCTCCTGGGCAATGCTAGTATTTTTTGAGAGCCAGGACATTAATGGTTTCCCTAATAAAACCTGTCTCTGGGCTTCGTTTTTTTCTGTGACTAATGGAATGTTTTGTTTTGCAGGGTAAAGAAGGAGATTTTGTATACAAAGAAGTAATCAAATCACCCACTGCCTCCCGCATCTCTCTTGGAAAAAAGGTGAAATCAGTGAAAGAGACAATGAGGAAGAGAATGTCTAAAAAATACAGCAGCTCTGTCTCTGAACAGGTATGCCACTGCCTCGCTGAAAGCCTCTTCCATGCTTCCTGACAGGGAATACTGAGACTGATTTTTTAGTATTTATTTATTTATTAAGAGGTATTTTATTTATTTATTTATTTATTTATTTATTTATTTATTTATATTTGACCAGAGAGAGACAGGGGTGAGAAGGGGAGTGAGAACGCAAGCCTCCAGGTCCAGGACTCAAACCATGGTCAGCCATGTGGTAGTCCAGCACCTCAACCACCACACCCCCCGCCAGCCCTAAATACGCCTTGGCATTAACCTGCTCTAGGAGCATCCTTTCTTGATGTAGACAAACGTGCAATTTAGCAAACATTTATTAAGCATTTAGGCTTGTCCATGTACTATGCTTGGTGCCGGGGATGCAAAATCTAGGCCTTTCCTTCTGCTTCTAAACGAGAGCGACGAATATGTGAAGAAATCATTGTCCTTTAGTGTAAAAAGCAAAAGAAGGATTTTATTTTCTCAACCCTCCCTTGCTACAAAATGGATGTAACCTGAATCAAACGTAAACTGTTTTCCTTGTACAACAGACTTTTCGAAGGGAGCAGACATTGTTCTATTCAATATTGGGTCGTTGATCAGGTCATGACACATTTTTGCACAGGAAAATATGTCGTGATTTTCCCGATGACCTAACAGAAACACAGAGCAAGTCAGAGACGTCGGCTCAGAACGTGCTTTCTGGCCACCTGGACTTTAGCGACAGTAATCAGGTTCCTGCTGGGCTGGGGGAGGTATTTTCTTGCACTGGCCCTGTCTGTAGCTGCTAAGGCATTGCAGAATGGACCCCTCCACCCAGGTCTGTAATTTCATTGCTAGAAACATGACCAGTTTCTGTCTTGGGAGCAGGAGGAAAAGCACTTGGACAACTGGACATTGAGGTAGTTTTGACCTTTTCGATTTTCAAAGCTCTCTCCTTCGGCACTGTTACAGGACTCCTCTTCTGTCCTGTTGAAGTACCTGCTTATGAATGAATGGCTGTCCACAGGCAATAGGAAGGGAAAGCAGACATTTGTACTCAGCTGCTGCCCTCTAGTGGCCATACTGAGCTAAAACCCAAGCATCCTCTGGATCACCCAGACTAGCTGACAGCCTGCTAACCACCCACAGTTTGGTTCAGACAAACCTCGCCACCACCTCATCAGCTTAGTACGTTGGTTCTCACTATAAGGAGTGGGTGATTTTGCTCCCCTACCCACCTCAGGGTTACTATCTGGGGTTAGTTTTGGTAGATAGGGTAGTTTTAAAAGACATATAGGGTGGGTTGAAGTGGGGTGGGTGCTACTGGCATCGGGTGGCTGATGGTCAGGGGTGCTGCAAGCATGCCAGCATGCACAGGGTGACCCTGTGACAGTGAACTGTCCAGCCCACATGCTGCAGTGCTCAGTGGAGAAGTCTGGCTTAGACTGACAGGGAAAGTCTGGACTGCCTTGAGGGAGTCTTCTCCATCACTTTTTCCCCCTTATTCTTTTTACTTTTTGTCCCTGGGGGTGAGAGATCAGTGATGATTCTTTATTTCTGTCCAGAAAGAGGCAAACTGCATGTCCGAGGGAAGCAGGCATTGGGCACCTGCATGCCAATCAGAGCAATGCCACTCGTTTAAAGCACTATGTCAAGTTTCTTTCCCCGAAATTGAAACACCCGCTAAAAGCCCTTATAAACTTATGTTCCTAGAAGTTTTCTGCTTTATGGATCACAAACTTAGGATTTTAATGTCATTTTGAGCATTTTTCTATAATTTTATTACTACGTAGCAATCTTTTCTTAGAATTATTTATTTAATTTTACTTATTATTAGTTTTATTTTTTAATTTGACCAGAGAGAGAAAGAGAGTCAACGTGAGAAAGTAAACCACCAGGTCCAGGCCTCAAACCATGATCGACCTTGTGAGAGTCCAGCACCTTAACCACCACACCACCTGCCAACCCCACTACATAGAAATCTTATGTTCTTAGCTTTCTGGTGTTTTAGACAAATAATTTTACATTAATCAAGGGATAAAAGGAACTGATCATTATAGTGCTTTCCGGAAAGAGAAAATTAATGTGAGGTTTTGCATGTTTCTGAAAAACACTTCAGTAAGTATACCAACTATTGTGGTAGGGATTTTTGTCTTTGTCCCTGCTGTGGGCCCAGCACCTGGTCCTGCATGTATCAATAAATAAATGATAGGCAAATTCATAATTTTTAAAAGCATTTGATGACAGATAATATCAGAGATGTATATTTCACGTTGCTGTTTTTCAAAACGTGTCCTATTCTTAAAAAGGACTTTATGGGCCAGCAGATGGTGTGGTGGTTGAGGTGCTAGATTTCACATGACTAACTCCAGGGTTCGAGTCCTAGACCTGGCAGCTCGGATGTCCCAGGAGCCTATGCCTGCGTACTCAAAATCTCAAGAGGAGGGTAAAGGAGAAAGGATTGTGTATAGCCATCCCTCCCGGGGAGCATTTCTCACTCTCTGTTTCTCCTCCTCCTCCTCCTCTTCTTCTTCTTTTTCTTCTTCTTTTTTTTTAGATTTTTGTGATAGGGCACATGCTCACTAGAGAGACAGAGACACAAAAAGCAGGAACTCACCCCCCTCCCCCCAGGGGGATGGCCATGCTGCAATCCCTTCTCCTCTAGTCTCCTCTCAAGATTTTGGGCACGGATGCACACGCTCCCAGAGTGAGTTTCAACCCACTGGAGCTGGGACTTGAACTACAGTCGACCATGTGGGAGCCCAGCAATGTAACCAATCACTGCTGATGTCATCACTTTCTCTCCTTCTCTGTCTCCCTGTGGCCGATGCACCTGCCCTATAGCAAAACTCTAAAAAATATATATTTTTTTAAGTTAGAAAGATCACTTATTTTATGATTCAGAAAAGAGGAATGAAAATGTGTTCAGGAATTCCTACTGGCAGCTTCAGTGCCTTCCCCATAATGGCGACTCCATTTGGAGGAGTTATGCCCGAGGCTGTTGACTCGCTTTCCCTGAATGTAAAGCACGAGTGTGTGTTGAATCAGAAGCTGCCCTTGCTGCTGTCCTTAAATGTTTGCAAGGCCTGCAGAATCACAGGGAAGCCCTTCTGACGATTCAGCACCATGCAAATAACAGGTTTCATGTGGACGGTTTTGTGCTCACGTGGCTGTGGGATCTGCCAGAGACTGGTCTGTTTTGGCAAGCAGACAGTTCTCGCTGCGAATTTTTCGCAGTGTGGTATTGTCTCTCTATACGGCACCACTAATCAAATGAGCAGGGTGTACTTATGTGTGCAAATGAGGAGCAGCCTCTGATAATACTCAGCCACCCGAGGGGGTGCACGCAGCGCCAGTCCTGACTGTCAGTCTTCTCTGATCTGGCTTTTTACTGATAACGCTTTAAAAGGAACGAAAGAAGCTAAAACCTTAAAGTGACATAGGACAGTTTTGTTATAGACTGAAAAACATGCTTTTTCTATATCCGAGTCTTTTTTTACTAGTAGTATTCTTTTTTTTATTAAAGTGAGAAGCCATCCCCCAAGGGGTATGGCCACACTGCAGTCCCTTCTCTGCCATTTTCCTCTCAGGATTTTGGGCACACACGCACACACACTGGTGTGAGTTTCAAGCGTCCAGGTCTGGGACTCTAATAGTGATCGACCATGTGGGAGTCCAGCACCTTAACCATTATGCCTCCTGCCGGCCCCTATAATATATCTGGGTCTTAAGTTGGTGTTTCAGTCCAGCACCTTAACCATTATGCCTCCTGCCGGCCCCTATAATATATCTGGGTCTTAAGTTGGTGTTTCTTTTATTTGAAGAGAGATTTTTGCTATAGGGCCTGTGCCCTCACCAGAGAGACAGAAAGCAAGAAATCACCCCCCAGGGGGGTAGTCGTGCCACAATCTCTTCTCCTCCATTCTCCTCTTGGGATCTTGGTCATGCACACATATGTGCTCAGCGTGAGTTTTAAGCTGCTGAGTCCAGGACTCGAACCATGACTATGTGGGAGTCCAGCAACGTAATCATTATGCCATCTGCTGGTCCCAAGTTGGCATTTCTGTAGCCAAATTCATTAAGAATCTGGCCAAGGGGCCAGCAGGTGACATGGTAGTTAAGGCATTGGACTCCCACATGGCCAACTGCAGTTCAAATCCCAAACCTGGCAGTTTGCTTTCTTATTTTTCCTCTCTCTCTTTGGTGAGCATGTGTGGAAAATAATAATAATAAACTAAATAAGTTTTTAAAAGAAGTATTTATTTATTTAATTCCATTTGTTGTTAGTATTATTATTATTTTTAAATTTGACCAGAGAGAAAGGGGAAGGGAGAAAGCAAGCCACCACGTGGGTAACCAGTGCCCTTAACAACCACACCACGTGCCAGCCCCATAAATAAAATAATTACTTTTAAAAAAGAATCTGGCCATTATGTTTTAAGGAGCACATTCTTTTTTAGTGTAATGTCATGATTATATTTCAGCAACATTTGAAGTTCAGCCTTGTTACTGGACTGCTGCATATCCTAAGAGTCTCTAAGCCTTTACCTAAATATTTCATCTATGTGGTAGAGATTGTTTTCAATGATTTCAAGACTATGAGATATATTATCTATGAGAGTAAATAATTTTTGAGTGCTTAGTAAGTAGTAACATGGAACACAACTTTTTTCAGCAACATTTGAAGTTCAGCCTTGTTACTGGACTGCTGCATATCCTAAGAGTCTCTAAGCCTTTACCTAAATATTTCATCTATGTGGTAGAGATTGTTTTCAATGATTTCAAGACTATGAGATATATTATCTATGAGAGTAAATAATTTTTGAGTGCTTAGTAAGTAGTAACATGGAACACAACTTTAAATGAGGCTATAGATTAAAAAGGAAGATGGTACCAGCCTGGTGGCACAACCAGTTTTTTTTAACTGTGGTGCTGGAAACAACATGGTTGACTGCTGGTTCAAATCCCTGGCCCGGTCAAACTGAAAATGCCTATGTGCCTGTGCCCAAGATCCTGACAAGCTGGGAGGGCTGGGGAAGGCAACTGCAGTGTGACCAGACCCCGTTGAGGGTGCTTCTCTCTTGCTCTCTCTCTTTCAGCCCCCTTCCTCCCCCATTTCTCTTTCTCTTGCCTGTGTGTACATGTGTTCTATGTCATGAGTGAAAAATAATACTTTAAAAAAAAGAAAAGGAGGAGGGAATCAGCAGTTAGCGTAATGGCTATGTCGCTGGACTCCCACGTAGTCGACCGCGGTTCG